CCCTCCCATTCCCTTTTTTCACCCTTTGGCCATGACGGCTACCGTGTTGGTCCAGGTGGTCGCTGGAGCAGACATGGTGTTCGTCACCGCGGGCATGGGGGGCGGGACGGGTTCTGGGGCCGCGCCCATCGTGGCCGACGTGGCGAAGGAGATGGGAGCCTTGACGGTGGGCGTGGTGACCAAGCCCTTCGGGTTCGAGGGGCGCCGCAGACTGTCTCAGGTGGGAGGGAGTGGGGCGTACAAAGGGGGACAGAGTCCAACTCCGCGTGCGTGATTCGTCGACGTGCTGATTTCACCCGTCTCGCTTGTTGCAAGCAGCTCTAACAACCCAACCGCGGGCGGCCGCCGTGAGTTTAGTTGCCTGAGAAGAAGGCCGGCGCGTGTCTCTTCCCAAACAAGGCGGCACTGCTAGCGCTTACGACACTCGGCTGACTTACTTGACCTTCTTGTTTTGTCACCCTGGAACTCTTTGAAAAACATTGCTACTCTTACTTGCGCATTGTGTGTTGGCAGCAGCTTTTTTCTTCTGGAGTGTCTCTTGACAGACCGGTGTTATGTACGCATCGTGTGTTCGCTGCTGCAGGCGAGCGCCGCCATCAACGAGCTTCGCGGGGCGGTGGACACGCTTATCGTTGTGGCGAACGACCGGCTGCTGGAGGTCGCCGGCTCTGGCATTCCCCTTGAGCGGGCGTTTAGCGTGGCCGACGACATCCTTCGCCAGGTGATGAACCAAGCGCTGAGTGCTGATTAATCGCGTTAACAGCAGATCCTGCGGGGGGCGGCGGGGGGCGGCTGGACTCATGTAAGATGCATGCGGTAGTCGTTACACCATTGACCATGCGTCCTCGACAGGACAGAGCATACGGTGGCGGTGGGGGGGGGGTCGTTTGCATGGGTTAGCTGGCGATGTTCTGAACCCATGTGTTGTACCACAGGAGAGGAGAGGGTGGTAGCGAACGCATGTGCTCCGTGGGGTTGTAGGTGTTATGTGTTAAGCGATGTCGCCATTGTGTTTGTGGTGTTGATGGGTGGACTGCTGGTGCTGTTGGCGCCGCCGCTGGTGCTGCTGCCGCCCGTCTGTTTGTGTGGTGCCTTGCACTCACTTCGCGCTCCGTTTCATTTTCGGCTTCATTCAATTTTTACGCTACCCCGCGCTACCGCTCCTTCACCGTGCTCCTGACGGCGTGCTGATTCTTCCGTTCGCTTGTGGTCGATGTTTCGATTATTCAGGGAGTGGTAGGTATCTCCGAGATAATCGTTCGACCGGGAATCATCAACGTCGATTTCGCGGACGTACGGTGAGTGGTTGAAGTTCTTGTCGGGCGGGGCGGGGTGGAGTGTCGGCTTCGGCCATGCATCGGTCTCGATTGTTCGCTGACACTCAACGAGCGATTTCCATGGAGTTGGGGGAAGGCGGGAAGGGGGGTGTACTCATAAAATTGAATGCCGTAGTCGTTAGACTTTTGACCTCGTGGGGTGGGAGTGGGTAACCCTCATCCGTGCACCCGTCAAACGTTACTCCTCAGGCTCTTCAAGGCATGTGTTCGTCTTGAAGTACCCCCCTCCTCCCCCGGGGGGGTCAACGCTTGATCTGTATGTAGACATTAAAACAGCGCCAACCCGCTGACCAACCAACAGACATCAGTTTCGCCGGGATTCAGTCTTTTGACAACCGCGGCCGCCGCCGCCTCTCGTACCTACCTGTGCCTTGCTCATCCGTCTGCTTCATGGCAGGTCGGTGATGAGCAACGCAGGCACGGCGCTGATGGGCATCGGCTCCGGGGAGGGCAAGACGAAGGCGGAGGACGCCGCCAACGCCGCCATCTCGTCCCCGCTGCTCGACTCGCCGATCGACAAGGCCAAGGGGATCGTGTTCAACATCATCGGGGGGAACGACATGTCCTTGCAGGAGGTGCGAAGGGGGTGCGCGGCGGCGGTTTTGTAGTTGTCAAGTGGTGGTGACGGGTGTGGTGGGGGGGGCAAGACCGGAGTTGGTGGGACGAGAGAGCGCCAGCCCGCACAGCGAACAATAACAAGCGGGGGTACCGTTTTTGTTTTCATGTATGTACACATACACCGCCGTGGCCTCCTTCCGGTTGGCCCTCTCGTCCAGACAGACCCCCGGTTCGCACGACGCTGGGCATGTTTCGCTATTCGAATTTATTGGTCTATTTTGTTGCTACCTACCTACCTACCCTGATGGCTGGGGGGAGGCAGATCAACGCCGCGGCGGAGGTGATCTACGGAGAGGTGGACCCGACGGCCAACATCATCTTCGGAGCTCTCGTGGACGAGCGGATGGAGGGAAGGATGAGCATCACCGTGCTCGCCACGGGGTTCCAGACCAAGGTGAGCAATTTTTCCACCTTGGCGCCTGCTCTCTTGTAGGGGGGGGTGGCGGGGAGAGAAATGCCCTGTGTTGTTGGCTTCTTTTTTGGCGCACATCACCCTTCTTCTCTTGTTCGAGATTGTTGAAGGCGAAGAAGTGCCACCCGGGAAGAATCGAGCATAGCTCGAAAAAAAACTCGTTCCGCGGCTGCTGGTTCTAAACATGAGATTGATGTTGCTCCCATCTGCTTGTCAATGACCCGAACTGCGGGGCGGTCTGCCTCCGCTTAAATGCATCGTTGTGCTGAGGGAGGGGAGGGACAAGAGCAAGAACACCCCCCGCAGTTGTTTGGATGTGTGGTTGCGCGCACGCGCGCGCTGCTATCGTGTGAACGGGATGCCCTGAAATATTCGCCCCTCTTTCGCCAAAAAGACTCCCCCGCGCCCTATAGCCGGAAGCGCGGCGGGAAACGGGGTTGTTGCTGGTAGATGGTCTTCGCGCAAGCCTACGCTCACGGGACCAGCTGAAGCCAGGCGCAGACTTTCGCGAGGAGAAGCGTCTGGCCAACGGCCTAGCGCACTGCCCCCGCCGCCGCTGCTGTCTACATGAACCACTCCTGTTGCCACCGATGATGCCGACCGGCGTTTGGGCGTTAAGGAATGGCGACCTTCCGCGACGATGACCGTGCTCGTGTCCCAGGAGGAGATGGCAGCCGTGCAAGGAGGAGTCGGCGTGGCGAGCCAGGGGCAAGCCGCGGCAGCACCGCCGGGGGCGATGAGGCCATCGACCAATCCGTACGCGGGACGGGGCGGCGGCGGCTACGGGCAGCAGCAGCAGCAGCAGCAGCAGCAGCAGGCACCAGCAAATCAGTTGCCGCCGCAGGTAATAGCCGAACAGATTTTGACCCAGCAAGGGGGGAGGAGGGGGCGACTGGAAGAGTCTACTTGATCGCTCGTTTGTCCAGATGTTTTGTTGTGTTTTTTGTTGCTCTCACGAGCATGTCAATCTTGTCCCGGCTTGATGATGCTCCATGTGTCGCTTGATCAAGTAACTCAACGATTTTTTTGTTACCTCCCGACTCACATAGATGTTTGCCATCGGGGTTGGGTTTTCGTCGCTTGGCAACGACGTTGTAAAACAAGCCGCCCCCCCCCGGTGTTTGCCATCGGGGTTGGGTTTTCGTCGCTTGGCAACGTTGTAAAACAAGCCAATTCACTTCGTGAGCTCGGCAACCAGGTTACCGTTTTTTTTTTTTTTTACCTCCGTTTTTTTTTGGCGGTAACCATAATGGTGGTCGAGTAGATCATGTTGTGCGGAGTCGAGAACCCTCACTCCGCGCAAGGGGGATGATCGCACCACGTTGTGTTGAAATAATCACGCACCCTCGAGGCAGTTACACAGTGCTTACAACTGTCTCTGGAAGTGAAAGCACCAGAAAATAAATTAAGTCATACGCAGCTGTCATCCGTACGCAAGGAAGTAAGCACAAGATGCCGAACACCCATAGCAGGATGCAGCGCACCCTTCATGCGACTCGCCGAATATCTCACGGCGCTTCGCGCTTGGTGATGTGAGAGCCTGGTCCGGTGAGAACCCGGCGTGCTCCGTCCCGGCTTTGTAGGGATGCGAGGTCAATGGTCTAACGACTACGGCATGCAC